TTTAAAGCGAATCTTGCCCTCAAATTGTTTGCTTCGAGTTCCTGAGCTTTTGCTAATGCATTTGGCAAGTCTTCCGGACAAAGTGAGAATAAAATGTCAGATAATGGTGTTTTTAGACCAGTTATGAATATTCTTAAAGCGTTTTGCCTATTCTTTCTATTAAGTTCTTTAGTAATTGACTCATCGCTTCCGTGGGTCATTATAGTCTTATTTATTAAGAGAGTCAACTTTTTATTGACTAAATTGTAGTATTCCATAACCGAAAGATTGCCCTGTCGTAACACGCTTAATTCCTGTTCTATTATATGAATTGGACGTTTGTCCGAATATGCAAAATCAAGCCGAGCAATAATGGCATCCATATTTAGACAAGTGCCGTGATTTGTTAGAGTATCGTTGGCCTCGCCTATAATTTTATTTCTTAAAATGGTTAGTGCACCGAAATACTTCCTGCTACCTCTATTGTATAAACTCATGGAATTTATGGCTGCGGCCCGCCAACTAACATAACTATTTTTTCCACTAAATTCGGGAAGTGATTTTACTATGTCCAAGGTCTCATCACATATTATACGGCTGTCTACTACTTCCGTTTCGAATTCTACTACTTTGGGAGTATTTACTGCAGAAAGCTGCTCTTTTAGCAAAGCTATCTCATCCCTAAGAGAGGCTGTGTTTGCGACTATAAGTCGACTAATTAAGTCTTGTGTAAAAGTATTATTTTCGAGGGTCATTTTAGCAAAATTCTTTAACAGATTTTCCAGTTTTACAACTTAATAAATACAAAAAAAATTGATTTTATTCCCGTTTCACGATAGTATTTCAAAAAATGAACAAATATTTCAATAGTATAAAACAAAATCTAATAACAGTAAGCGAAGGGAAAAGATTTTACACAATAAAAAATAATAATTTACTTTTATATTTATAATTTAACTAAAAAAAATTTCCACCTTTTACAAGTCCAATTAACAATTTTATATATTCATTTATACTTCTTTCAAAAAGAAATTAATTGTTTGACTTACTTATAAAATGTTTTCTGCTTCTCCTGAGTTGAGTTTTGGTTTAAATGTATCTTCCTTCAATTTGTACCACAGGTATTAAATTATTATTACTTAGACAGTCACCTGAGTTGAGTTTCGGTTTAATTGTATCTTCCTTCGATTTGTACCACAGGTATTAAATTATTATTATTTAGACATTCACCTTTAGTTTTGGGATTTTTTTTGTTCTTTTGTAATTTATATATTTTATAAAATGTTTTCTGCTTCTCCTGAGTTGAGTTTCAGTTTAATTGTATCTTCTTTCAATTTTTACCACAGGTATTAAATTATTATTACTTAGACAGTCACCTTTAGTTTTGGGGTTTTTTTTGTTCTTTTGTAATTTATATATTCTTTTTTATAAAATAATAAAAAAAAATTTCACGATTTCAAGTTAATTAAATGAAATTTCACGTTAAATAAAAAAAATTTTTGAAAATATTAATTTATATTATATTATTTATATATTTTAAATATTATTTATTCCTTTTTCTTAGAATAATCTCTCTTTTCTCATCTGCAAAGTTATTGCATGTTTTGTTAAATGCAGTGATATAGTTCGAGCAACTCGTGTTGCGTACTTTTTATTTTCCGCAATTGTAACACGGGCTTCACGTTGAGCGCCAATTAAATATAAACTATTATTTTTTTGTGTAGCTTCTGCTACCACTTTATTTGAAATGTTTCTTAAGACTAACTACTTCCATAATTTTTACTCGTATTTATACCAAGAATTCGAAGTATCGAATCCCGATAATATATTTCGTTGTTTGCTTAGGACAGGCAACGATAATAAAAAATATTTGGTTTTTCCAATTTCCTGTTTAATACAATAGATAATATTTTAGGACAGACAACGATCATTAAGAAATGTTTAGTTAATACAATAGATAATATTTCGTTGTTTATTTAGGACAGACAACGATCATTAAGAAATGTTTAGTTACAATGTTTGGTTATTTCCAATTTCCTGTTTAATACAATAGATAATATTTTAGGACAGACAACGATCATTAAGAAATGTTTAGTTAATACAATAGATAATATTTCTTTGTTCCTTTAGGACAGACTACGATCGTTAAGAAATGTTTAGTTAATACAATAGATAATATTTCGTTGTTCCTTTAGGACAGACAACGATAAACACAATAATTAGTGTAGGAGACGAGACTTGATAACTTATATGCAGATGCAGATGCAGATGAAGATGCAGATGCAGATACATTTCAACAAGTTTATCCCATGTTGAGTTAAAACTTTTCATAATCAAGTGCAGAATAACCGTTGTTAGTAGCTTTGCACTTAGCATAATCAACTTACAGATTGCCAAGGAAATGAGCTGCAAATCTAACAGATACCAATCCGCAACTATGCTCCTCAAGATACATCTACATTTAGCACACAAACATACAAATTTTGAATTTTCCTCACAAAACGAACGATTTTTCAATGTGAAAAATGAAGTGAATTTCTTCAAAAAGGTAAAAATGAAATTTTCCATTTTTGAGTTATGTGTAGTGGCTTCGAGTTTCCTATTCAAGCTGAAATGGCAAAGTTGTGTTTCATTTGAGTAATGCAAGTGCAGAGTATGAAGATTTTAAAAATTTTAAATTTTATTGCGGTGTTAGCTTGGAAGTTGAAATTGCTTCCAATTACTTACATTACGAAAATTAGTTGATTATATCTGTGCGTATAATAAACTTAAATAATGATTGATAAGTTGATAAGCACTTTGTGTTTAGCTTTTGGTTTGAAACGCTAAAGTAACTAGCTAATAGTTGTAATAGCTTGCAGTAATGGGCCTATATTTATACTTATAAATAATTTTATTTTGTAATGCTAATGGCAACAAAACACTATCTGCAAGTTCTTGGAATTTAGAACTAGTACTTAAAGCAAGGTTTGTTAACTTAGTTGATACTTGCACAATTCTTGTCATACTAAACTCAAGTTATGCCAAATCTTTCACATGAGATGCTGGAATATACATTGTGCTTTATTTCCATGGGATAATGCATGTATACAAGCACATCTTCAAGGCTTGAAATATGAGCTGTGCTAAGCACTTTGCATCCTTCAGTTAAGATCACATATTGCTCTTGTGACTCATATATGTGTGCATATGTAGGTAAGGGAATAAGTAAAAGTTATGTCGTTCTTGATTTGTTAAACCGGAGTAACTTTTTCAATCGAGAATGACTTTTAATGCAATTTTTGGGTAAATCTGGGGCAAAATGTATACCACTCTAGATATTTTCGTAGTGTAGCAAGATTACCCTCAAATTAATAGCTGTTTCATATAACTTGACAAACGAAGAGTGATTTGATGCGTTATATGTATTTCAGAACTGCAAATGTGTTAGATTGTTCTAAAAATGTTTGATTAGGCAACAAAATATAATAGTTCAAGAATAAATCTAGATTGAATTCAGATTTACCAATTGAAAATGCTATTAATTCCACTGAAAAGTATATTTATATTTTTTAAATTAACCTAATATTGTTGCTTCAGTCTTAATATTATTAGTAAAACATACACTCTGATATGCTCACAAATGATATCACTGTATTATAATAATTAAGCTGTACGTTAATGGCACTATTCCTTCATGTTTCTACTAATCACTGTATTAAATATAATACTGCTTCAAGATATAATGCTTATCCAATGTCCTGTGATTTCATGTTTCAATGTAAAACAATTTATTGTAAAATATTTTGAATCTAAACTAAATATGAAATAAATACACTCATTAAAAACCTTACTCTATTTAGTACGTCAACGGGTTTTAATAACTGGTTATTGTGGTCTAAAAGATAACCTACATAAACGTTGATTATCTGCCAATTCGGAATGCAGACAACTATGCATATTCTTTGTGACCGTCCAGCTTCAACAATGCACAGAAGAAACTTATTTCATATGGAGTTTCTGTCACCAGAACAGATCAAGAGCTCTTTTCTGGATTTAGTTCTGGACTTTGTTCACAAGCTATGTAAAGGGATTTGTATAATTAAAAGTGAATTTGGTATAATAGGACTCTTCTGACCGTAGTACTGGCTGTCAAGTGATTTGAGGACAAAAGTTTTAATATAAAATAAATACGTCATCATCATTGTTCAATAAGACGTCATTGTCAAAAAAAACTTTCAGTGTTCAATAATATGATATTGTATTTTTATTTAATGGTGTTGGCTACTATATTAGAAGAAGTATTTGTAACACATTTTTTTCTTATCTTATTGCAATATATCTTATTCCGTAAGATATAGACAATTTTCTTTCATAAGAAATTTTTGTATAACGAAATATTGTTAATACTATTAAGGCTTATAACTGAATCGTTATTATTAGTTTCTATGCCATATTTGTGAAGATATCGAAGCACTAATTGTAAATTGAGATAAACTACTTAAAAGACTTCATTTCATTGTAATATAAAACTTTATACGTACGAAAATTGTCCGTACCTTCAATAAATTTTAGTAATAATTTTTAATTTTAATCTTTTTAAAAATAATTTTGACATGCACGAAATAATAGTTATTCTATTCTATTGACTAAATTCCCAAAAAGTTGATATGTAATTCTATTAGAATAATTAACTAAAGCTTTAAATTTTTGAAGTTTGAATAAAAGCTTCACAAAATTGTTCATATCCTTAACTGAATAAAAAAATTAGATGATTTGGGTCAAAAATTTTTTTTTCACTCTCTACAATATTGTTTATTATAGTTTCTTAACATTTTCTAGTAAAAATTATTTTATTTAATTTTTTTTTTTTTTGCGAAAAAAACTTTTAAGGTGCCGTACTTTTACTTTAACATAAAATAAAAATTATTTCAGAAAGTGAATAAATTCAACCACAAACAAAAAAAAATACTCATTTCATTTTTAAATTAAACATTTTGAAGGAATTTTCATCCATTGATTACTAGTGAGGTTCTACTTACATCCATGTTGGTACACCCTGCAATGCTGTTGTCTCATTTAAGACAACACCAAGGAGTAACGCTGCACTAATCCACAGTGAAAAATGTTTCCTTTTAAGAAATTCCATTTTGACCATTTCACAGCCAACACAGGCAGACGCTGAAAAATAGAAAAACTGTGGCTCTATGAACGTCCTCGACGCGTTTGTCGTTCACTTGTTTTTATAGTTGCGGTTATTATTATTACAATTGTTGTAACTGTTGTAACTGTTGTAACTGTTGTAACTGTTGGTTTGGTTGCACTTTTACTAGTTTTTCACCAATAAATTACTTTTTCCCACAAAGAATGTTTATTATTAGCTGAATTTTTTGTATATTTCCCTTACACTTGCTTTGTGTGAAAACGTGTTTTCAGGAGTTGAAGTCCAGTAATAAACTTTTTCCTCACGATACTCTTTGGGTTTAACGGATATCCGGTTTATTTTTCACTTCTTAGCAGCACCATGACTCACATTATTAATCACAATTGCACGCAACTCTATTACTAACTCTTTTCTTAAAATTGTTCGTTCTTGGTTTCTCGATTTTTTACGACATCACTCCGTAAATTACGTGAAAGCACTTATTTAATGCAATTTTTCATTTTTCTGACACTAATGACATTTTATTGTTATAATATTTCAATTGAGAACGAAAGAAAGCAACACTTTTTATCACTTATCACTTACTATATTTAGTATTCTATTTTCTTGTATTAGATTCTGAGAGTCTTTATTAGTTTCCTTATTGTTCGGTGCGGCTGGCATTCAAAGTATCAAAGTATCTGGCGTGTTTTGTTCGGATGCCTACAAATTTGTGTCATCAGCTGAAAGAAATAAGAGCAAAACAAACTTCATTAATTTTGTTGAACTTTATGTCTTTTTTCAAACAAAAAAAAAATTCATATATAAAAAAAATAGAAGAAAAAAATCACAAATATGAAAATAATAATAAAACGTATAGAGAACATACAGGCATATATGGATACATATAGACATACATAAATGTCCATTCTTAATAGCCTTTACTATGTATAGCTTAGAACAATAACAATTTTTTCTTCGAAAATCTTTATAAAATTTTTATTGTTTTTGTATTGTTTACAAACAAACTCTTTAGTGCGTCCAGTCCAGCGCTCTGTCCGTC